CTCTTTCTTGAGCCTGAATTCCTACAGGGTGATGTGAAGAGAACCAGATGATAGCTGTATAACAGAAGACAGAATCATAAATCTAGAGAACCTGAGTCTTTTGTACTGGGCAGTGTGATAGGCTGAATAGTGGCTGACCAAAGATGAGCATGCTTTAAGCCCTGGGATTTGTGAATTATCATATTGACAAAAGGGACTTGCTTAGCTGTAATTAAGTTAAGGTTTTTCAGAAAAGAATATTATCCTGAGTTATCTGGATGGGCCTAATGAAATACCAGGGATCCTTATAAATGAAAGAGGAAGGTGGAAGATTTAGAATCTGAAAGATGCATAAGACTCTGGCTTTGAAGAGGGAGGAAGCAGGGAGCTAAGAGAATTCAAATAGCCTCTAAAAGTTGGAGAAGGACAGAGAACAGATTGTCCCAAAGATCTTAGAGAAGGAATGTAAGGTAAACTACTCAACCTGTGATAATTTGCTGCAGCAGCAATAGGAAATTTACACATGCAGTTCGCAAAGCTGCTACTTCCTTTTGAGTTAGATACTAATTTTCTAATTCTAATAGAATTTTAATTCCATTTTCTGCTGTACAGGCATTCTTGAAATGGAAGAAATCCTAGAGGTGATTATAGCAGTTAAAGCCTCTGCTCATTAGAGAAGCAGATGCACTGTCTTGGCTTTTGGTCAGTTTTTCATTGAGTATGCAACTATGTTGACCATAGTGTTAATCTTACTTGCTGAGGCTGGGACCAAATCTGTTCAGTTTATCTTTAGGGTATGTCATCTTAAGAAAGGGAATTAGAGAGACATGTCTCCTAATATGATGTTTGTTTAGGAGTAATCCAGTATGTACAGCTATGGCAAGCCACAGATGCACCTGAAGAGGGGAGATTAAAGGGAAGCTTTTACTGGCAAAAAAGAGAAATTCACATGAGCTGCTTGGAAACAATTCAGTGATTCTGGAGGCTCAGAGCCCAAGTTGGTGTCAGTTCATTGGTGGAGATGTTGTTATTGGGTAAACACTCTTTCCTGAGCATATTTAAATTCCTGCAGTCCTAAAAAAGGAATTCCTTGTGCAGTTATTTTAGAAAGTCCTTGAGTTACTTCTTATCTTATACATGCAAGTGTGAGCTCTCCTCCTTCATGCCTTCCCTGCCCCAATTTGTTTCACCAAAGTGATTTCTTCCTGATGTCTGCAACTTTCACAGTTATTATCTACAGGACATCAAATCTCAGTAAGAGCCCAGCATGCAGGATTGACCTCTAACTGGCTGAACAAGTTTTGTAAACCATATGAGTCTACCTCAGAGAGCCAGGCAGCTTTTATTCTTAAACTCTGTATTAACCTTTCCAATTGGCCTGATGCATTAATCCGGGTACAAAAAAGTGTATTAGTAAATGGCCCACAAAAGGAAAGTCTAGGACAATTTTATCATCAGCAACAATTCTGGCTAGAGTTGAAGCTTATCTTAATGCCATTCATTGATTATTTCAGCTAACATCTCAGATGGATTTTATACTACCTTTTGTAAGTGAATGACTGCTATTGCAGGGTTAATCCCCTGTAATATTAGTATAAATGAGGGGTCACTTGTCCCACTGTTGTGGGCTCCACCAACTAACCAAAGATAGGAGAGCAAAATGAGAACATACGGTTGTTGGAGTTGTATAATAATTTACTAGTTTTTTTTTTTTTTTTCATACATTTCAAGATCTGTGATAAAGTTCTGTAAGACAGGATTTGCAAGGTTTTCCAGAGTGAGTCATGTTCATGTCTGGCTTCCATCCAGGAGGCACATATGGTGCCTCTGGAAAATAAGTCTTTATGAGTGTTGGGATGTCCCAACTTTGATCTGCAGTAGTGTTCTCAAGTGGGCTTAAGGTTACACAATGCTTATAACATGGCTGCCTGGCTGGCTGGTAGGCCTTAGAGTTTCCCGTTAAATAATTGAAACTAGTCCTTTGAGAAGGGCTTGCCTGAAATCACTCATTCCAGTTTGTCCTGTCTGTGATAGCACCTGCATGACATTCATCTATTCTGGAATAATGACTACTAAGTGGTGATATAGGGAGAAACATTCAGTGATGTTGATACAGTTTTTATTTGGGAGGTTCAGGAGCTGGGACATACACTGTTCATTCCATTTGAATGGCAAACCATTTGAACTGTCTGGCTAAGGAGAAGGATTTACCAGTCTTAAATTCAAGAGGCTTGCAACAATTTGGGAAGACGTACCATGGCATAATTGTGTGTGTGTGTGTGTGTGTGTGTGTGTGTGTGAGGGAGACTACAGGGGCAGTTTTGAAAGACACAGGATCATTAATGTTTCTCTCTCTCTCTCTCCCTCCCTCCCTCTCATACCTTATAGTATTATCATTCTGCTTCCCCAGTGCCTAGGCTCTTGTACAACCACAAAATCTATATTTCTTTAATTTACAACCGTGCCTTTTATCTAATTATCCCCTACACACAGCAAACATTTTGTCCACAAAGGTGAAATGCTAGAGTGATGAAGAAGTTTTTAGAAATCTTACAGAGATCAATTATGTCCTCTTCTTTTCTTTTTCATGGTCCACCATAAGGAGATTCTGTGGGCAGTGTAGTCAAGTGCGTCAGCATTGTCCTTGTGATTTAGTGCTATGTTGGTCCTACAAGAGCATCCACGTAGCTGAACCAAAGTTTCACTTTCCTAAGCCCCATTTTGCATCTAGATAGTGTGCTAACTGGGCTGGCCTGGGTTTGCCGTTGGAAGAAACTAAGAAGTATCATGCCTAAGAAGAGTCAGGTTGTATATTTGTGCATTTCTGTTGCTTATAACAAAATACATGGAACTGGGTGATTTATAAAGAAAACAAAATTTATTGCTTACAGTTTCTGAGACTAGGAAATCCAAGTCCAAGGAACACAGCTGGTGGAGGTCTTGGTGGTGGTGGTAGTGATGGCAGGGTATGACATTGTGAAGATGTTGGAGCAGAGAGCACAAGAGAGAGACAGATTCTACTCCCTATTCTTTTAAAGCCCTCAGAACCATGCCCCTGACCACCATTTTTGATGTATCGTATAATCTGATCACCTCTTCAAGGCTCTACCTTTTAATTACCATAATAAGATTTCCCACCCTCTTAACAGTCACAGTGGGGCTAAGTTTCTAATGCATAAAACTTGGGAGACACAATTCAATCATTCCACAGCAAGGCAGAATGCTGAATTTCCAAAATGGGCTCATATAATCCTGCACCCTTTTTGTCCTGGTCATTACCCAGGGAGAGACTGGGTAGTGTTCTCTTCTTTGGGGATAACTGCATTCAGTGGTCCAGCTCTCCTTTTTAAGGTGGTAGATATCAGTCCAGAGACTTAGGAAGGCTGCATGGATCTTGTCAGTTTTGAGCCCTGAAGCAAGCAAATTGCTACATTTCACAGGAGACTGCTTTCATTTGCTTCTTGTTATCACACACACTTGTCACAAAGGGATCATTTTGATTGTGGGCCCCTAAAATACTTTATTTATGGTTCTTCCCTGTAGGGAGAACTGTACTGTCACTTACAGAATGTCTAAGCAAAAGGGTATTACGCTTTGATTACTATTATACATTCAGATAAAGAAGCAACAGTGATAGTATGTGAGTCTGCCAAAAGGGCTTCACCCTTACTGTCACATTAGCTTCTTTGCTCTGTTATGAACCCTATCCAAACCCTATCAGCTGTATTCAGAAATCCCTTTGTCTAACAGAACTAGATGGGACAGTGACTTGGGGACCTAATTCTAACAGAGCTGAGAAAGTTTGAGGCCCTGCATTCTCCACGTTACCCTGGATGCCAGGACAGTTATGTATGGCCTTTTGCTTTCACCTGTGGACAGGGAGATCTTGGCCCTAAGCCTAATTATCCTTCTTAAAGTGGCTGAAGTCAGGGAATGGAGGGAGAAATCATTGGATATGAAAGGAGAGAACGAGTCTACATCAGTAAACAAGACATATTTCTTTTTTGCTTTTTAGTAGCATGGACGCTTAGCCAGGCTGTTTACAACATTGCCTTAGCTTTCACTTCTGCTTGAAGACCAGATCTAAAGGCCAGGCAAAAAGAAAAGCTGAGTCCTGTGTGGGAGCTTTTAATAGACCATATTTCCCTACGTGTCTCCTTTCCTACTCTTCTTCTCCAGCTTTTCTGTTATGTCTTTGGCTCTTCCCCTGTTGTTGTGTCTTACCTGAGGTTCTAGCAGTCAGTATACATGTATCTTTAATGCTTTCATGTGACACTTTCCTGAAAGCTGCCCCAGCCCTGGGACAGTTCTGCATATGTCAAAAAAACCAACCCCACCAACCCACGCATAAGCCCCCAGGCAGATTGAAACCTAGTACTATAGTTCTTTGAGAATTAGGTCCCTGTTACTCCCTCTTAACTAGAAACCTGCATCAGGAAAGTGGGTTGCTATACTCATGGCCACTGTTGTCCTAGGGTGTGGGAGTATGGTAGATGGGCAGTTTACAATCTCATTGTGCTTTCTTACCAAAACTCAATTCATTTTTATTCACTAATCATTTCCTGTGTTGTAAGTTTTTAGAAGATTCTAGAAGTTTGCAGAAGTTGATTCTGACAGATTTCCCTGCTTGGAGTTTACTGCTGTACTGTTATGTGGTGGTGTCTCATAATGATTAATCTTCATTTTAATATCGTTATGCTTTACTATTAGGTCACCACCTTGTGAAACTTATAAGTTTCAGAACTTATAAGTTTGTGACACAACCATATTTACTCTGGGTTCTAAGAAGCAATGCTATTTTAACATTTAACAAACCACTATGAAAAGAAAAGAAAAAGCTGTCAAACCATGGTGTGCCTTGATTGTAAGATATAGAAGTATGAAAGTGAATTTACGTTTTAGCACAGTGTGATGAAAAACTGTATTTTTTTGTACTACATGGTTTTCTTCTTTTGATTACATTTAATTTATCCCCCCCCCCCGTTTTTTTCCTTCCCTTTCTCTCTAGTTTATGTTTGAAAATGGAAGAAGCTGGAATTAGTGGGCTAGAGCTGAAAGCAGATATGTTGTCTAACTCTCAATCAAATGATATCCATCAACAGCAGTACTCAAATTGTAGTGGCACAAGTAACAAGCATTCATTGGAAGATGATGAAGGCAGTGACTTTATAACAAAGAACAGGAATTTGTTGAGCCCAGCATACTGCACACAAGAATCAAAAGAGGAAATTCCTGAGCGAGAAGCCCAAACAGATCCCCTTCATGGTAACCAAGATTCAGAGTCCAACAGGAACAGAGAATAAATCTTAGGGAATAATCTCCCCTCAGTAGTTACATGTTTTACATACTGCTCATTTTTCCTATATTTCCTGTATTGTGGTAGACATTGCTTGGCTAATACACCTATTTCTTTGGTTAAGTCAGGCTGCTAGTCTGCTTTTATATGTAAAGGGTGTAAATAGCACAGTAGGAAGCTTAGTTGTAGGAAACTATTACTTCTCTCTATGTAAACAAGAACTAGTTTTTCTGAGAAGATTTGGTGCCAGTTTGACAGAAGTAGTGTTTGATTTGCCTTGTTAGTTATCTTTGAAAGTAGTCTGGCCAATAATTATTGCAAAAATTGTGTATTAGCTCAGTTCATTTGAATATTGTTAACTAAAATTTGGAGAACATATAATGATATCTGTAGTTTAGAAAGAGTTAATAAGACTGGTATTCAGGAAATGTTTTCTACTTTCTGACCTGTTAGTTTGACAAGTAAATTAAGCATGTGATATGTTAAATGTTGTTAGTGAAATCTCAAATCCCTTTTATTTCCCTTACTGGTTGCTCCTTAGTTTTTTTTAACCTAACATGTTTATGGGTGATTTCTATATATGACCATAACTTGGAATTCTCCTTCTTAAGCCCATATTCTACTACCCTGGAAGACTTAAAAAATGTATAGGAATATGAAAAGTAATTATAATTCCTTGCAAGTGAGGCAAATATCTTCAAAATCAGTAACCCTAATTATATGTGTGAAGTGTAGTTTGACTTTAAAATAGTAAAAATATGGGTTCTAGTCAAGATGACAGAATAGATGGTCCCCATCCTCACTCTCTCCTACAAATCAACCAATTTACAACTATAAAAATGTATCAAGAGCCAAGCTGGGGCTGCAGGAGATCAGAGGAAGAGGAGAAGAGACCTATGGAATTCATGAAGGTGGAGAAGCCATGATGAGAGAAAGAAAAAACTCCTTGGAGCATTTTGGGCCCTGGCTCCTTTAAGGCTGGAACAGCTGAGCACATGGAGCAGGAGCCGGGAGAAGCTTCAGCTGTGCCCTTGGGATGGAGCTGCTTGGAGGCAACGGGGGAGAAGACGGTCTTGGTGGCCCCTAGGAGAGCAAGAACACTAAAAGGGTTCCCATGGACAAATGCAGGAGCAATGAGCCAGAACAGCTGAAAAAGGGGAGACATTCAGAGGCCGGTGAGTCATCACAGGACACTGGAGCAGGGCCCATACCATTGGAAGTGTTTGGAGCACAGGCGGTGGGAGAGATGGGCCCAACCAGGAGAACACTGGGACACAGCAAGGATAGCCCATCTGCCCCCTAATCAGCACTGGACCAGTCAAAGGAGAATGGTCAGGAATACAGAATTTCATGGGGTACAGTTTGATGAAAAGATTCAGGCCCACATCAGAGTTTCTACTCAACCAGGTGCACCCAGTCTCTGAGAGCTGGAAGTAGCTATAAGATCAATTATTAAACCCTGAACTGCACAAAGTCTTCCCTAGAGAAACAGCAGCAATTTAGCTCAACAGTACAGCTCAAGTACTGGTTCCCACAGGAAATTCCCCATTTTAGAACTAAGCAAAGGACAAAAAATTAGTTCTGGCTCATGCACATGACCTTGGGGCCCACCAGGGGACCTGAAACATGGAGCCAGGGACCAGACACCCTGTCCACAACCAGACACAGTGCCAGCCCCTTGGGGCCTACCTGGGGTCCTGAGGCTTGGAGCCAGGGACTGGACCCCCTACCCACAACCACACACATTGCCAGTGCCACAGAACATGCCTAAAACATCACCTCCATGCAGGTGGCCCACCACAGTAAACACAGCTGCTGCAATAATGGCTAGACATCACAACCACCACACAGATGGGACGCCAGCCACTGGAGTGCATTGACACAGGAGAGTCACGAGCAGAGACCAAAGAAGAGAAGAGGATGTCTCTCTCCACAAAGCCCATTGCAGAGTGACAGAAGTAGCATCTGCTCTATGATGATATTGGGGGACCTGAACACACCTTTCAGCATTGGTCAGATCATCTATGCAAGACATCAACAGAGTAACCATTACTCTTCCAGAGGGAGAGAAGAAATCTAGGGTTATCAGTGGTGGGAAGAGGAAGGGAGAGAGGGATAGGGAGAGATTGGAAAAGGGGATTAAAGAATAAGTACAATTTGTAACAATACACATACTAGTAATATTGATTTGATCAACATTTGTCAACAACTGAATCCCCAAAATATGTATAATCAATTATGATTCAGTAAAAAATAAAATAAAACAATAACAAACAAAATCTTCAAGGGCAAAATAAATAAATAATAAAAAATAAAATAGTAAAAATATGTACTTTAAACAGTTTGATTAAAAATTTTTATGAAATTTCAGGTTACATGTCTGTTGTTTCTTATACATCAGTAACAACATTTCATCTTTTTTATTTGGCTTTGGAATGAAAGAGAAAAGATTTTAATACTGAAATTTTATGTGCATAGAAAAGTATTATTGAAAGTCAACTTGTTTTCCCTTACCCCATAATACTGTAAAGTATACCAAATATTAGAGTTTTCTAAAGATTATTTTTTATAAACCATTTTATATATGAGTGAACATCTTAAAAAATCAAAATTTACCTAACCTCAGTTAACAAATAGAACATTATGTTTTGAAGAACCATTTGCCCCCTCTTGTCACAGTCACTTGCTTCTTCCTGTCAGAGCTATTAAGGTTCTCTTTTTTTTCTTTTTTCTTTTTTTTGTCTTTTGTCTTTTTCCGTGTCCGGCAATGGATTGCAACCCTCAGTGTTGCCCCCGTACCGGACCGGGACCAGCAATGGGATCGCAACCCTCAGTGTTGCTCCCGCGCCTTACTCAGCCAGTGAGCAGCCGGTCTGTATGTGGGATCCGAACCCTCGGCGGGAGCGCCGCCTCGCTTCCCAAGCGGCGCACTGTAGCAGTGCACCACCGGGCCGGCCCAAGGTTCTCTTTTAAAACACCTTTCCCAAAGAGAAGAGCTTTTCTGACTCCTTTTCTTTGTATTAAACATGGTTAGTATCCAGAATATGCACAGCAGATTATCAGAAAACTATCATAACTGGATTAAATTGCTCGTAGGAAAAAATGTCACAGTTGTTTGTATCTTAGACAGTGAGTAAGAGCTAAACATCTGAACTTCCTTGTATATTTGTACTTAACTATGAGGAAGCTTTTTAAAATATTCCCTACCTTTTGTAAAATATCTTATTTGGAATGTTATTGTTTTAACAGTGGTTAGGCAAGAGAAGTTCTTAAACTTTCAGTGAGTCTTTCATTAAATTTAAGTGCCAGGGGGCTGTCCAGTTAGTTCAGTTGGTTAGAGAATGGCCTTAGAATACTAAGGTCAAGGATTGGGATCCACATACTGGCCAGCTGTCAAAAAAAAGTTTAAGTGTCAAATAGCAAGCATTGTTAGTTGGTAAATGAAGAAATATGGGGGGATGCAGAAACAGAAAAACAATCGTAACATTTGTCTGGAACAACAAAAGACCTGAATAGCCAAAGCAATCCTGAACAAGAGAAATAAAGCCAGAGGCATAACACAACCTGACTTCAAATTATACTACAAAGCTGTCGTAACCACAACAGCATGGTACTGGAATAAAAACAGACACTCAGAGCAAAGGAATAGAATAGAGAACCCAGAAATTAACTGATGTACTCACAGCCAACTTATATTTGAATAGGGCAATAGGAGCATATATTAGCGAAAGGACTGCCTCTTCAATTAGTGGTACTGGCAAAACTGGACATCCGTAAGTAAAAGAATGAAACTAGACCTATACCTCTTGTCATAACCAAAATCAACTCAAAATTGATCACAGGCTTCAGTATAAGACTTGAACTATAAAACTACTGATGGAAGATATAGGAGAAACACTTCAGGAAGTAGTGAGCCAAGACTGATTAAGAGCCCAAAAGCACAAGCTACAAAAGAAAAAATAAATAAATGGGATTATATCAAATTAAAAAGCTGCACAGCAAAACAATCAACAGAGCGAAACCACAGCCTGTAGAATGAGAGAAAATATCTGCAAACTATATGTATCTGAAAAAGGGTTAATATCCAGAATATTCAGGGAACTCAAGCAATTACCTGGTAAAAAACCAAATAACTCAATTGTAAAATGGGCAAAGGAGCTGAAGAGACATTTTTCAAAAGAACACATACAAGTGGCCATCATGTACTTAATAAAATGCTCAATCATGGAAATGCAAATTAAAACTACATTGAGATATCAGCCGCTTAGACTGGCTGTAATCAAAAACAGATTTACATGTGCTGGCCAAGATGCAGAGAAAGGAAATCACTCACTGTGTTGTTGGGTGTGGAAGTTAGTACAGCTGCTATGGAAAACATATGGAGGTTTCTCAAACAATTACAGATAGATCTTCCATATGATCCAGCAATCCCACTTCTGAGTATATACCCAGAGAAATGGAAATGAACATGTTGATGGGTTACCCATGATCATTGCAGCTCTGTTTACAGTAGTCAAGATATAGAAGCAACCTAAATGTCCATCGACAGATGATTGGATAAGGAAAATGTGGTATATATACACCATGGAATACTACTCTGCTGTAAAACGAATGTGACTTTGCCATTCACAGCGACGTGAAGGAGCTTAGAGAAAATTATGTTGAGTGAAAAAAGCCAGACATTGAGGGAAAAATACTGAAGTCCTTACTCTTAACTGGGAGCTGAGAGGAATAATAAGGAAGACCACAGTGGTGCGTTGGACTTGCAGAGGGAGAGAACATACCAAGGGCTGCCAGGATTGGAGTAGGGGAGGGAAAAGGAGGTCGTGGATGATTGGGCAAGGAACATGGGAATAATTTCAATGTGTGGTGAGGGGCATGCTGACAGTATTGATCTGATCACATCTTGGGCACAGGTGGTGAGAGTCAGCTTTATACCCCATTAGTATGCATAATCGATTAAAAAAAAAAACGCAACCAAAAAAGAAATATGGAGGGCTGGAAAAAGTGCTTGCTAAATCAAAATTTAAAGATAGAGTCCCTAATTTAGTAGGTAAATCTGTTTCTAATTATAGCCTTGACTTATTTTTCTCTGATGCCTGAACCTGTGAAGTTTTATGTGGAATTTACAGATTGAATTAATTTCATACTTCTGGTACACCCCCACTCTCTTTTTTTTCTTATTAATCATCAGGAAAAGAAGTTCTATTATTGATGCAAGCCCTAAACACTCTTTCAACTCCAGAGGAGAAGCTGGCAGCTCTTTGTAAGAAGTATGCTGATCTTGTAAGTATTTAATCAAGAAAGCAAGGCTCATATAAAATATGGAAAATTGTGTGTGCTTGATAAGATTTTTAAATGTAATTTGTACATAGCTTTCAATGTAAAATTATATTCTAAAGTTGAAGAAAAGAGTCTGATTTCTTGGTACTTAACTACTGTGTGACTTCATTTTATACAATATATAAAATATTGTAATACTTTTGAGATGTGGGGTAGATTGCCTTAAAACTCAGTCAACGTTAGGATTTCTAGGTTAGCATTTTCATTCCTATGTTTAGATGCTTACCAGGTGGGACGTAGTGGTTTCTGTAGAAAAGTTTTCTCAAAGGAATTCTAGGCAGGAAAGCATTCATCATGGTAATTGAAATGTGAGTTAAATAAAATTGTCTAGTAAACAATACTGTGTCTCAGGAAATATTTAATTAGCGTCTACTGTATGCCTGGCATTGTTTCTATCTTTCAATCAAATTCATCTCATAGAGGAGTTTGTTGTGGCCTGTGTTATTTTAAGTAGCTTCATTGTTTCTCTGGGAATATAGAAACACTTAAATTCAACACTGAACATGGAAACCCTGCCAGCCTTTTTAAAGTGAAGAATGGGACAATTCTTGAAATTTGTGAAGAATGATTGTGTGAAATTTTTAGAATTGGTTCTAAAGTAATTTTTAAAATTCTTGTATTTTGTGAAATATTTGTGTGAATTATCACTGACAGTTTTTGTAACATTCCAAATGATGTTAAAGCAGCTATTCCATATCATGAACACTACCATGTTTTGTTAATGATTATAAGAACACAGCCATAACAGTTACAGTTACTATTCCCTCAAGTGGGTTCATGTACCCCACTTAGCTGGCATAAGCAGCTTGGCCCATTTTCATACTGTGAGAAACAGGAATATCTGAACATCACTGCAAATGCCTATTGAAGGGTTAGAGATGAAAGAGCAAATTTACTAGAATAGTGTAATGTAGTGTGGTCTAGGGCAGTCCTCAAATCTCATACATATTATCTGGGGATCTTGTCAAGTTGCAGATTCTGATTTAGTAAATCTGAAAAGACAGCTTAAAGTTGGCTGGTGGTGGGGATGGGGGGATGACTAAAATACTGTGTTTTTAACAAGTTTCTAAGTGGTACCAAGGCTGTTGGTCCAGGTTTTCAGTAAGACTTTGAGAAACACAATTCTATTGGTATTTATTTACTTAAAATTTTGTTGTAGGAGAGGATGGTATGGTTGTAAGAATTGCTGCATACATTTTATGAAGTGATACATTAAAAACTTGCCTTTTCTAAGTGGCCTGTCTTTGAGTTAGATGTGTTCTTATGGATATTTGTAGTTCCTGTAAATACTTGGGTTTAAAAAACAAGTTTAAACCTTTGTTTCTTGAAAAAAAATCTCATTTCCTAAAAAAGAGAGTATGTAGCAGGGAGATCTCCTTGATAACATCACTGTCAAAGAAAGTTTTTGCAAGGAGTTCAGAAAATTTCCCTGTTGCTATCATCATCTTTAGCTGTTTTTGGTAATATGGTATTCAACATTGTCTTACATTAACAGTTTATTTGGGTATAAATGTTAGTTCTATAGATCATGGATTATTCTGCACTGTAGTATTGTATTTTTGCTAGTTCATTTTAGAAAGACTATGTAATTGTTATCCCTGATCATTACTTTTATCAGGTAACATAGATTTATTAAAAGACGATTGAGTTTCTAAGCAACAAGTTTTTACCAAATGTTGTAGATACATATGACATTATATCTTTAGATGACCTTTAAGTAGTATGTGTAGAGTGTACAGTATATAAGTGGAAAGTGTCTTATTGTTTGCTCTTCTACTTTAATATTTTCTCATGTGTTTCTGCACCTACCAGTTATCTTAATTTCTTTTGTCCTTTTTCACTTTGGTATTCTCCTTTGCATTTTTTAGTAAAGCAAAGAGAAAATGATTGTATTTCTTTAACTCAAAATCTGTGTTTCAAAAACTCAGTTTTCTCGACTTATGGTTTTCCAAAAGAGAAAAAATAAGAATAGACAGTCCCTTTAGTTGCCACAACCCATTTTCTCCCAGTTGCTTAGTGTCTCTTCTCCCAGGGCAGATGGTTGAATAGTAGTGTGTCCCTCGTAGGGTTATAACCTTCTATGAAGCACATTCAGGAGCAGCACTGTGAGGTCCCTTCCCTGTTGGGAACACTGTTTTATGTCCCAGATGAGCTTAAATCTTGCAGAATCCCGGTGGACTTGACTGGAATCCCTCACAGTCTACTCCAGTGGAGGAACATGTGACCTGTCTTTGATTATTATCAACTCCTACTTTAATCACAGCTGCCAGTACCAGTTGTCTATAAGAAATATATTTCTAATGCTCAGTCTCTGAAACTCTGTACTAAGGCACAGCAGATTTGTAGGCTCTGATTTTCCCCATTCTTCTTCTTCCTCCTCCTCCTCCTCCTCCTCCTCCTCCTCCTCCTCCTCCTCCTCCTCCTCCTCCTCCTCCTCCTCCTCCTCCTCCTCCTCCTCCTCCTCCTCCTCCTCCTCCTCCTCCTCCTCCTCCTCCTCCTCCTCCTCCTCCTCCTCCTCCTCCTCCTCCTCCTCCTCCTCCTCCTCCTCCTCCTCCTCCTCCTCCTCCTCCTCCTCCTCCTCCTCCTCCTCCTCCTCCTCCTCCTCCTCCTCCTCCTCCTTGATGATGATGATGATGATGATGATGATGATGATTTTTTTTTTCTTTTTTCTGGTGGATGGCTGGTACAGGGATCTGAACCCCTGAACTTTATATTTTAACAGGTATTTCTTTTACAAGTTTATTTTTTCTTTACCGTTCATCTATTGAGATGTAATATATATTTCTAATTTGATTTATATCCAGCAAACTTGCTAAACTCAATTCTCATAGTTAATTCATAACATCTTTTGGATTTTCTACATATACATTAACATCAGCTACAAATACTGATTTTTTTTTTCTTCTCCTATTCTTTCCCTTTCACTTATTTCTTCTTCTTCTTCTCCTCCTCCTCCTCCTCCTCCTTCTCCTTCTTCTTCTTTTCTTCTTCTTCTTTCTTCTTCTTCTTCTTTCTTCTTTCTTCATCAACCATTCCTCTGTCACAGTAGTATCTGATATGTAGCACTAGGGGATTAGGATTTGGGAAATGGAAGCTGTCTGAAGTGGTTGTCAGTGTCTTTCCCCTGATCACATTCTCCCCAATCCCCCCAAAAACACAAACAATTCATGGTTGTCTTTGATACTGCTTCCCCATAAGGTGCAAGTTCCAAAATTCTCTTCCATGATTAATACCTCAACTTCTTGTATTTGCTGAACACTGGCTCTCATCTGAGGACCTTACTTTCTATCTTTTTCCCCCTTCCTATATCTCAAGGCTAGGAGGTGAGCCTTTCTGTTATCCTCTCTTCTTTCCTTAAATCTGTTTCATAGCATTTAAAGCATGTTTAGCAATGCTGCCTTTTTCTTCTCATAACTGTCATGGACTATCTTTCCAGTTCATTACTGAAACACTGCACTGAATGTCTCTGTCCCAGCTTCTGCTCTTTTTTTCTTTTTCCTTTTTGTCTTTTTTTTTTTTTTTTCCTTTTTTTTTTGTCTTTTTTCATGACCGGCAACGGGATTGCAACTCTCGGTGTTGCGCCCGCACCTCGCTCAGCCAGTGAGCGGCCGGTCTGTATGTGGGCTCCGAACCCTTGGCGGGAGCGCCGCCACACTCCCAAGTGGCGCACTGTAGCAGTGCGCCACCAGGCCGGCCCCTCCTTTTTGTCTTTTTACTGACCGGTAACGGGATCGCAACCCTTGGTGTCGCGTCCGTACTGGGGACCAGCACCGGGATCGCAACCCTCGGTGTTGCGCCCTCACTGCGCTCAGCCAGTGAGCGGGAACCGGTCTCCACATGAGATCCAAACCCTCGGCGGGAGCACCGCCTCACTTCCCAAGCGGCGCACTCTCCAGGGCACCACCAGGCCAGCCCCCCAGCTTCTGCTCTTAATGAAGATGATTCTTCACTGTGAACAGCCCATACAAAATTACGATATGGCTTCTTGTTTCTTTCTTTCTTTTTTTTTTTAATTGTGGTAAAATATGTAAAACATAAATTTACCACTTTAACTTTTTTGTTGCTGTTTAATTTTTTTTTTTTTTTTTTAGGAATTATCGTACAGCAACTATACCATTGTTCATTCTCAGAGCAGTTTACATAGGATATTAGAACCTATCTCTGCATTCTCACCAGCATTTGTTTTCTGTTTTTCTGGTAATAGCCATCCTAATAGGTATGAAGTGGTATCTCTTGTGGTTTTGTTTATATTTCCCTAATGATTAGTGATAATAAACATCTCCTATATACTTATTGGCCATTTCTATATCTTCTTTGGAGAAATGTCTAATCAAAGTTGTTTGCCATTTTGAATTGGATTTTTTGTTGTTGAGTTTTAGGAATTTTTTATATATTCTCAATATTAATTCTTTATCAGATGTTATTTATAAATATTTTCTCTCATTCTGTGCATTGCCTTTTCATGTTATTAATAGTATTCTTTATGCACAAAAGTTTCTGATTTTTATGAAGTCTGATTTGTGTAGGGTTTTTTTGCTGCTTAAGCTTTTTATGTTACATCCAAGGAGTCATTGTACAATTCAATGTCATAAAATTTTCCCTGTAAGTATTCTTTTAAGAGTTTGTTGTTTTAGCTATTATGTTTAGGCCTTTCATCCATTTTAGTTAATTTTTGTGTACAGTAATAGATAACGGTCCAACTCTTTTTGTTTTTGTGGCAGTTGGCCAGTATGGGGATCTGAACCTTTGACTTCAGTGTTATAACATCAGTCTCTAACAAGCTGAGCTTACTGGCCATCCCCAGTATCTAACTGGATTTAAATTGAAAGTGTATTGCAAGATCTGAACTTTATTTTTTACATGTGTTAACCTAGTTTTGCTGACATCATTTGTTGAAGACTCTTCTTTCCCATGGGATGGTGTTGGCATCCTTGTTGAAAATC